TATTTTGAAAGATGGAAGTTGATTTGTGTTCTCCTCCGTGAGTACATCGAAATCATATGCTTACTTGTCAAAAATGATGCTCGAGTGAATGAGAAATTGAAGCTCAAAGTATGCCATGTGAAAGGAGTTTGTTGGTGGGAAAACTAAAAAAGTTAAAATTTGTCCCACATAGGAAGTGGATGAAAACTAAAACCACTTTATAAAAGATTACACTTTAGAGTGGTGTAATCATGTGTAGTATAGAGGCTCTCTCCACGTGCGCGCGCAGTGGCGAGTGCAAATCTTGGACCGAAATAGGATTCGGACCTTAAACTTGTGTGTGGACGCGACCTGCGTACACGAATGTCGGATCGAAAGGAGCAAAATTAGCCACTTAGGAGTATCTACGTTTTGCTACATTTTTGTTAATATTCATCTGCACACAGTTCCTATTTCTTTGCATTTTTCGTTCCTATTCAAGTCTTGTGGTGATATATTTCAGACACAAAGTCAATTCGCCGGAGTCTGTTCTGCTCGAATTTTACTGGTTCCTCCGTTGTATCCTGGGAAACAGACTCTCGTACTATCCTCAAGCACGTACGGTGAGGGGGCGAATCTATTTTAAGGAAACTATATTTGACACAGGCCTCGGGTTAAAAGTGTTATACTGCTTTAATTGTTCTTACTCGATTTGCATATTGATTTTTTGTAATTATTTAAATTACTTGTTATTTTTTGCTGTAATCAACAAATCGTTGGATTTGTTATATGTACAGTTTATTATACGATATCCAGTCTGTAAATCTGGTATTCGATATTGAAACAATTATCCTACAGTTTGTTCTCTAAACGTGATTACCTGTTCAACAGTCGTCCCATGCAGCTCTTTTTCCAATATTTCCCTGGTGATTGCGGACTCTGGAGGGCCATAAATTGCAGGATCTAGTGTACTTAAAATTGGAAGTCCCTGAAAACAATTATGCCGCGCATTTACTGTAGCAGCAATCCTTGGAAAATAAATAAAATGGACCGTATCAGATATCAACCAACTCAAAATTTTACCTCCAACAGTTGAATGTTAACCGGGTTAACCCCGGCTAATATTTGCCTTGCAAACTCATTATCCCTTAGCCACGCAAATCTGTCCCCTGCAATGAAAGGTGGAAATTTTTTTGAATATGATGGGATTCAATACTTGGAATATGAAGAACTTGTAAAAATAGCAGCTAAATTCTATAGTGGTCATCATAAAGAGGGACAAAGACCTTAAAAGTCTCAAATAAGGTTGTTAATGCAGTTAGGGGCCAAACAAGGTAAAAAGGAGGTGTGCTCACGCTTTATAATGGCTGGTGTATCATACTTCAGTAACTTATCGCCAACCGTCAACACTTGTTTCATCACATTAGTCAGAACTTGATTCTTTTTTTCTTTTTGATCTTCCTCTTTTAAGAGTACACCGTCATTATATAGCTTCTCTATGTCGGAGAAGTTGGTAAAGGGTATGTCTGAACTCGACAATTTAGACGCAATCAATGGTATCAGGTTGTGCAACACAGCCTTCAATCTTCCAGCGGAAAAAGTGTTCTGCTTAATTTCCTCAAAAGTTTCATCTCGAGGAACATAAACCGGATGGGGTTTCTCCACTCTAGTTTCAGTGAAGGGATCTGATTGAAATTTCAGGAAGAAAATTGTGAATATATTGATGAAACTGGGCAAACGGATAAAAACGTAAAGAAATGAAGCAATGCAGCATTGTGAATTGTCAATACCTTCCTTAGTATGAGGTCGACCAGTTCGGCAGCGCCTTGGGTAAGGCCACTTTTCGTTACCTAACACCGGTCTGACAGTATCTTCACCCTTAACCGGATTACCCAAATCATTATAAACATCGTAATCATAGATTCTTTCATGCAGCTTCCTCTCTCCTTTTCCATTACTGCGTAGACTCAACAAGTCTTCTCGTCGAAGATCTTTAATGCCAGGTGGCGTTTGAGAGGGCAAATATGCCTGTCAAAAGAATGAGGGCATTTGATCAACTGCCATCGTTTAGTTAAGTAGCACACTTTGATTTTATTTCGTCTCACCTGGTTTTTGAATATAATTCTGCTTTCCGGATTATCTTTCCTTGAATGAATCCAAGTATCAGCCCGAAAGAAACTAGGACCTTCGCTAAATCCATGAACTACAACCTCCACTAAGAAGAACTCTTTATCGTGGAAATTGGTAATAAGGATTGCTCCTGGCCGTCCAAAATCTCGTGGTACTGTGAAATCGGCACCATACTCTACAACATATGGATCATTTGATGGTTTTGGCAACCATCCCCTCACAAAAGACTCGGCATTTTTTCCAGACTTAGTACCTGTCAGACGAAACAAACTTCAAGGATTATTGCACCAGGAACTTCATCCTTGAACTGCATTAGAAAAATTGGATCTTTCGAGCTCATGGATCATTACTAACTAGCCCTAGTCCAAGTCCAAGTCCAAGTCCAAGCCTGATTCTTGCAAGCTTAAAACAGTTGGGGAGGAAAAGGACAACAGGCCTAAATGTGAAGTCAAACCTGTAGGCTAAAACCCCACAAATTGAACTTCTTCAAGAAACTTCGATTAAACCAAAAGACGAAAATAAATCTCACACACACACACACAAATTTCTATAAACTTCAATGAGAATTCTTGAAATTTTACAAATTTAACTAAGAAACCGAGGAAATTGAAAACTGACCAGGATCAATTTCTTCACTGACGAGCTGAATCAAGATTCCTTTACCAATCCCATTGATAAATAACTCCCACTGATCTTCAATCTTCTCAGTCAGCCTTTCCTTCATCTTTTTCCTGATACTAATCACTGCTTTTACATTTATGCTTCCACTTTTAGAAGAAGAAACCAAGGCCCCATTATCCTCTTCAGGTTTCTCCACCACATCCGTTGCACTGGTCTTGTTATCGCCACCGCTGATCACTGCCCTTATAGGGACCCTTCGCCTGAACCCGGCAAAAGGGGTGGTTTTTCTGGTGAGTCTGTGATGTTTTCCGGCGAAGTAGTTGACCTCCGATCGCCGGTGAGTAAAGGGTCTTGGCTGAGATGTAAGCATCTTCTTGAAACCGAACCGGAGTCAGAATCAGTTGGTGAATACTGTTAGTGGAAGATTATGTGAACATGAAATTATGGACAAATGTGTGAGCTGAATTATTACTAGGATACTATATTGGAGAGAAGAAACAGCCGCTGTTCGTTGTCCTTACATTTTTGTATTGATGAAGACAAACAAGTGCAAGATTTCCTTTCAGATTTTTTTAATGCAAGTCAAGTTAAATAATCAAGTTCTTCATCACTGTCAAAAAGTAAATTCATGTTTTCTCTTTCAATACAGACCACAAAAAATTAGTCCATTCCCTGCCACCTTTTCTACCAATTTTCGAGTCGATTAATCGCACATGTTAATCTTGGAAGATTTTCCTTTTAAGAATTTATATATAGCCCTGTTTGGTACGCATTAAAATTTTTAATCTCATTATTCTGCTCATTTTTAATTACACATTTTTCAATAAAATAATATTTTTTATCACGTCAATAACTTTTCCTTCTTTTTCAACCATAAATTCTCCATCAATCTACTATTCCAGAATATATTCTTCCAAAATAATGTGGTTCAAACACATCCATGCGAGGTTGAAAATTAACTTATTCTTTGTTACCGGAAACAATTTAGGTAGAGGTTAAAGTTCTATTATACCAACCAATAGTTGAATGGTACTAAAAAAATGACTAATTCCGAATGAAACTCAAATTTTGAGGGAAATTTTTTATGATCGAACAATAACCAACCGAAACCTGCCTAAAATCATTGGAGAAATTCTGGAAAATTGATCTTAATCAGTTTATGGTTAAACAGTGGGCATTAAAGAAGATAAAGATTATTGTTATGATTACTAGAGGGGTACCTACCATAATTTATAAACTTACCACCTTCTTGTTTTAAATTTTTTAATAAAAGAGACATTAGAGAATTGGCACAATTATGTAGTTCGCCAAATAATTTTCTAGGTGAATCTCAGTGAGGTAATGATAAAATAAAATTTATACAACTGGAAGAATTATTCCTCCTCATTTCATTGTGTTTCTTATTAATTTTTGGATAATTCTTATTGTACACTTTTGTGTACAACAAGTTTGACACTCTTTTTACATGGGGGTGGGCCCCCACCCCCATGTGTGGGAGTGTCAAAATAGATGTATACAAAAGTGTACATTTACTCTTAATTTTTTTATGAATATGTGATTAAAAAATTATGTTGCGAATCATTGTGAATAATTATTTACATTGGTAAACTAGGAAGCAAAAATAACTGTTAGATTAATCACCTACAGTGATTGTGATTGTTGTAGTCAACTTTTAAGTCTTTAACAAGGGTATAAAAATGTGGTGAGCATTTATCTTAATTTTCAAGTGATAAACTCCAAGATGAAGAATGTGTGGCTAGAGAATATGAAAATCTCCCACTCAGGACTCGTTTACCACATGGTTTTTGGCATCTGAGAGTGACCGACAATATCACGAAAGAAACAACCAAAAAATTCAGTGGACCAACGTTTGAATTTTTGCACTTAAATATCACCATTAGATTTAACATTATTAGATAATATGACCTTCATTTTCTGGTTGGATTGACTATTCAGACAAACCATGGTTCGATTCAAGCTCAATTTTTTTCACGAGTCGACATGTTTTGAACTCGTGGATTCGCTCATTTTTTAGTTTATTTTATTAATTTCTTTAAACGAACTGACTTGTGGACTCCCTATGAAACCCACGAGCAAAGGCCAAGTCAAGACTAGTTTTTGCACACGAACTGAGACGGCTCATCTTGTCTCGTCGTCACCCTTTCAAGAATCATTTATTTGGATGATATACGAGTAATAGAATTATAGAACTAAAGATTGGTATTCTCAAAAACTATCTTGCAGGGCATGTGTTGAATTCTTTATATTTTTTTAAGTCACCTTTCCTGGTCAACGATGGAGGTGTTAAATTCTATGCACCAACCTGACACGCAACCAAATATTATATACCGCTGCAATTTAAATGATAAAAGGGAATCGTTCACACGACAATAAATTATTTCATTTATAGAAGAATCTCAGTCTCCACGAACACGACAGCATGTAATGGATAGTAATGTGTCAAGACTCAAAATGTGCAATAATGTGCCCATACACGCTTTCTGACATCCTATGTAGCTTCCACCACCTTGTTGAGTCAATTCTCGTCTTTTTTTACTCCACTATACGAGCCTGCTATTAAAATGCAACCAAGAGGAGTTGCGAGTAGACTAAACTATAAATCTTTTTCCGACCATCTGCTCGATTTAAAGCAATTAGATTCTTAATATTAACAACGTACAAGGTTGTATTGTCACAGTAAGAAAGCAGTTTGATGTGATACAAGCCCGTAATTTGCACGGTCTTCATGCATGTGCGGCGCTGAGCTATTGGGTTGTGGTACTTCCAGGCTTCCCAAATGCTGCAAACACAGGCCTCGTTATCCCCCTAACAACTTGCCCATCCTCCTCGTCAATTGTGAAGGAATTCACAACAGTTTCATTTTGTAGAACGAGACAGCATCAAAGAAACAACCAATTTGATAAATAATGCTATTTCTTGGCTTTACGAGCAAGAAAACGCTCCCGAGCAGCTAGTATCCTCTCGTTGTGATCATCAGAAGGCTGAGTGGCAAGTGAATCTTCATTTGGCAAGTTTGAGTTCTCTACTTGAGTCTGTTCATGAGACAGACTGGTTCCACCACTGCTTCACACAAAAAACAAGACCCAAGCTCAATAGAACTCGAGAAAAGAGCAAACCAAAATTGAGGAAAATCATTAACTATGGTCATCAATTTCCGAGACAATTGTTCTTACCTGAGTTTACTGACATTTAAATTATCAAGTTTTGATAGGATTGGCGTGACCCATGCCATCTCAACCGCGCATACATTGCGCATATATGGCCGTGAAGTAGCAATAAGTTCATGATATACAACATAATTTGGGAGCATTCCCTCTTCATCTGGTTTCAATACTGACGATGGATGGACCTAAAAAGCATTCATCATGTGAGTATATTAGAAGAAAGAGTAAATTAATTTTGCAAGAGGAGTATAAGAAAAGCAATTTACAATATTTGAGTTTTATAAGTATATACTTATATGTATTACTGTTTAAAAATCATCGCAAGTTTGTGTTAGATATAGTTTTCCAGCCTCTATAATACTGAAATGAAACTTCATATCATAAAATAAACAAACAAAAAAGTAGCAAGGTAAAAGTAGGAGAAATTCAATTATTGATAATTATCTACCTGAACTACTTGTGATTTAAAACCTACAGTTCGATAGCCATTATGGCGAATCATTCGCTCTGCAAGCTGATTTGCATACCCTGAACACAGAGCTTTTCTCAAAGCCCTATAATCCTGGCCTTCTTTCCATCTCTTACTTGTTTTGACATCCAGAGATCCTAATACATGGCTCATATTAGGATAGAGGATTAACCAGGAAAAAATTGTGAGTGAGAATTTATCATGTGATTATTTTGGGGGCAAGAGCAGGCAGGGTTTGCTTGCAGCCAAAAGGTAAAAGTTTAAATAATTTAAAATGTGAACTTGAAGTTGGTAGAAAATAGTCAAAAAAATTTTATGGAAAATTAGAAAAAGAACTGCTCAACAATATTCACGTGAAATACTAACCTTTAGCAATCTTCTGCATTATTTGAGCCAACTGTTTCCTGACATCTTTGACAAACATCATCCCCCTCACCTACAATCAGCAAGTCCAACAATGAATACAATTTCTCAAAATCATTACATGACAACCAAATATAATGCAAGAATCTAATGAAAGAGAATATTTGAGAATAGATTCTGTGAAAAATGATTTTTTGGAGAATGTATGGTTAAAAAGTAGGGAAAAATTATGGATTCTCACGTCCAAAATTATTTTATTAGGTTGTAAATGAATTTCGAGAAAAATGAGTTTTATAGAATGTGTACCAAAGAGGGGCTAAGAGTCGTTAACCTCTTCCTATTAAGGGTACAAATCTTTATCAATTATTATGCACGTTCATTTTGGGACCATTTCTATACAATGATTTCACACTTGGCTCAAGATTGATATAAACATAACTTTTATCACTTTTAATAACTAGTCTCAGAAAAGTATTATATGATTAGATGATATCGAAAATGAAGTTTGAAAATATCCTAATTATGTAACCTTGAAATATACCTGCAAATAGTTATCTTTGCACCAATCTATATTGTAGTCAGTTTGATGCCAGATCTCATAGATTTGCAGCAATTGGATGTGGTCACCCCAGCCCGAACCATCAGGAAGGTCTGATGACGGAGGGTTCTTCCTCTTCTTTTCAGTGCTCTTGCTACAAGACAAAAGAGGCTATCATGATCTTGATGAAAAAGTTGTTGACTTACAAAGGATCATTAATTTATTATAAATGGTCAACAATTTCGGATCATCAAAAGCCCAGTAGAGAAGGGATTCAAAATGAGCTAGTAAGTAATCTTGGATCCTGATATTCTGTTAACAAAGGTAACGAAGTTACAAACCGCTAAAGTTTTCACTTTAAGGGAATAATGGATGTGGTATTCACAAGTCAATGACAGTTACTCGGTAGCACCAAATATATGCAGGAGACAATGCACAAAGTTGAAACTCAATCAACATTGTGAAATATCCCAAATGAAAATTTTCAGATAATGATTTAACTCAATCTGACATAGGTATTGTTATTTTTTCTGATTTAACATAAGACTTTTAAGTAAAAATGGTCACATTAGACACTGCATTTCTTCCTTTCTGAAAACAGAATGTGCTGCATACTCAATATTGCACACACTAGATACACTTGTTGGGTGGTTGCACGATAACATAAATGAAATAAGAGAAACGAATGCAATACTCATAACTATACAGATATATACATGCCAATGGAAAAACAAAAGCAAATGCTTAAAATCTACCTTCGACCTAAAAGCAATGTAGTTTCTGCAGACAACATAGCAGCAACTGTCAAAGCTTGAGATAAGCAGCCACACTCATTTGCCTCTAATAAGGTCCTAGAAAGCGAAGGTTCCAGTGGAAGTTCTGCAAAAGGGAGAACATTTTCAGCTTCTTAAGGAAGGAATCTTCCCCTTTCCCTGACATTTCTGTTCCTGTTGATGCTATACTGAACGTGTGGGTGCAGTTTGTGCATTCATGTGGAAGTTGACTTAATTTCTTAATTTTGTATTTCTTATTTCAAGATTCCTTGTTGAGGGAAAGGATGCTGACTCTACTGTTACAATTCAGAGGATAATCTATTACCAGCCATGATTCGTCCAAGACTTGTAACTGAACCATCAACATTAATAGCGTCAATAAGATACAACTGCTTCAAAGCATCTTCTAATGACTCAGCTGTAGATAAGGCAATTCAGACTTCCAATTCCACATGGAGACTATAATCCTAAAAGGAATATAGGAACATTGAATAAAAGGCAGAAAAAGAAATGCTTCCTTACAGGAAGGAGGGTCGAGAAAATCAAATTTAAGAATATTGATGTCTGGGAGGTTCAACGATTTTAAGTATAGGACACTTCCCGCAAGAGAAGATCTCTGTATTTCAGGGATCGTAGCATCCAAGAAATCGTCCTCGTAAACCATAGAAGGGTACAAACGGTAACACCTCCCAGGACGTGTTCTTCCAGCTCTTCCTGCTCGCTGATTAGCCTGTACCCTGAAATAATTAAGAGAGTTTTTAAGAACAGTTATAAGTAACATGCACAGAAGACAAAGACAAAGTTTATCAATCAGTGGTACTACTTTTAAAGAAACAAACTTGTCATATGGGAGTGACAAAGTAGCTATCAGGGGAATGGATTCACATCGTTCACTTGGATGAAGGACATGTCATTTCCTCTGAGTTGTATTGGAGGGGAAGAGAAAGGATTGCTTTTCCACTTACATCCAAACCATTCGTGCGCTCTATTTTCGGGGTGACGAGTTCTTATTTGATTCCTCTTTCTAACACCTTCCAAGTCGGGATGACTAAAAACAGGCATCAGGAAAATTCCAAACTGGTCACAATGGAGTAGTCTTACGCTGAATGCAAACTGGGATTAGACCGACATGAATCTCAAAAGCTGCTATATACTAAAAGCTTGTTTGTAAATGGCTTCAATTATAAATAAGTGAAACGAGTGATCGATAAGTGGATAGTAGTCGTAGGTCTCTCGAAATTTGTGGATAAAAAAGTGGCTAGAGTATTTATAAGCACGGGCCAACATAGCTAAGAATCTTGACGATTAACTTAAAACTAGGACACCAGGGCAGGATTCCAAGTTAATAAAAAATAAAAAAATTCTACAGTGGAATAACAGTAACTAATGCTCTTAAACATAAGAATAAACAATGCACCTTCCTAGTATCCAGCCAGACTCGAGAAGGCAATGTACAGAGCAATCATGAACTTGAAGTCGTAGACATTAATTACAATGTGATTAACATCATCAAATTGAATATATAAAAAATCCAAATATAGATACAAATACAAGCACCAAAGGGAAAGTTGTCCCAATGAATATAAGCAAGATAAAAATTCATACTTGCTAATTTGAACTACGTCAAGGGAGTACATGCCAGTTGATGGGTTGTATTGCCGTTGCTTCACATAACCAGAATCAATTACATACCTGCCAATTGCAGTCAAATCATATCCATACATTAATATACTGAAATGGTTATTCAAGCAACAAGTTTATTCTTATTTTAGACTTTAAGAAAGGGGTTGTGTTTCAATTATGACACAGTTACGAGTCGGATAAAATGATAAATAACTAAATTCAAAAAGAATCAAAATGCAAATGACTTATTGAAATGACATTTCTGTAAGCATAGAGTCTCTTACACCACACCATCAACAGTCAAAGAAGTCTCGGCAATGTTTGTAGAAACGATAAATCGCCGACAGTTGGGAGGTGGAGGACTGAAAACACGGACCTGCACAATTACCAAAATGTGAAGCTCAATAGGCAGAATAAAGCTCACAGAATGAATGCAAGTTGTGAACATCTGCTTTAGTGGACTCATGAATACAGTTCAGAGAAATGTAAATATAAAATGAAACCTTCACAACCAAAGAATAAAATATGTAACAGACATAATGGGTATTTCATAAAAAGAGGAGAAATCGAGCAGAAATGAAGAAAGAAGAAAGGCACACAATCACCCATATTTCTGGTGATTCGGGAGTAAAAGTATAAAGTATCAAACAAACACGAAGAGCCTTTCGGTCTATTCAAAGTTGGTGCACATCTCATTTACACATTTGAAACTAAAAAGTAATATTAGCATCTAAAATTAACAAGAAGTAAGATCTGTATCAACGATTACACCACAAAAGGTGATATCCTTCAAGGAGGATATGAAGGATATGGACACCTCCAATAATAACCAATTTGACTTCTAATAAGATAATAATATCTTCAAACAAACCTTAATTATAATTTATAACTCATCATACCTAATGCAAAAGCACAGCACACAAATTCTATGAGTGCATGTCACAAAAAATGCAAATGAAATATGCCCGTGCTATGCTCCCCAGGAAAGTGATTTCACATAAACTAGAAATGAAAAATAGTATAATATTTCAATACATCAGATAAGGTGGTGTTTCATGTAGAGTAAGTAATATTAGAATACAATGGTATTGTATAGCACGAAAGGCATTTGAAAAGCATCAGAGATTACACAAAACAATTGACATCTAAATAGCAGTAAAAAAATCAAAATGCTCTTTTTTGTATGAATAAAGAACAAATAGAAACCAGATTTGAAGCAAAGCAAGACTAGCCTGCATTTCAGGGGCCAAAGATCCATGAAGAGGAAGGATTATAGCATCCAGACAAGATCCTTCCTCAAGGTTTTGGATTCTCTCTTCCAATTTGGATACCATTTTCTCTATATCATCCTGCAACAAAGGCTTGCTCAACTTGTACCATTTCATGAATTATGGTACATGGTAGGATTTAGTAAGAGACACAAACCTGTCCTGTCATAAAAATTAGGACATCACCTTCTGGTTCTCGAGCATGTATATCTGCCAATACGAAAACGTAAAACTAAATTAAGAAATCATTCTAGCAGATGCAAAATAGGTCATCTAAACCTCATTTTAACAAAAAGGAGTGAAATAAATAAATCGGAATTGTAAACATGCAAATAACATAAACATAAGGGTAGGGTCCAAACGTACCAACGGCCATCTTTAAAGCAGCTTCAATATAACTTTTGGGTCTTTCTGAGCTATGTAATATCTCCACAGGGAATAACTTCCCGGGTACATTGAGGATTGGGCAATTAGAAAAGAACCTTGATACTTTTTCGCCATCAAGAGTAGCCGAAGTAATCAGAACCTTTAAATTGGAGGCACGTAATTTAATCAACCGTTTCATCAGTCCCAGCAATATATCCCTGATCAAAGATACTTTCATAAATTAAAACATCATACATAAGAACTAATGAAATAAATAGGCAAGATCAGAAACTGAAAACAGCAAGAAATGTGCACGACACAAAAATCTACAAAATAGTATTACACAACCGAATCAAACGTTTAGAAAGGCAAAAATAATTTATTTTCCTTGGGCATCCACAAAGGAAATGGAGATTTGTAAAAATCCAAAATACTAATAAACTACCAAATCAGAGAGGGGCTTGAATAATAAAAATCAACGAGAAAGTGCTATTTACGTGTTTAAGCTCCTCTCATGAGCCTCATCCAATATGATGACTGAATACTGATTCAACTCCGGATTAGAAAGACTTTCGCGAAGGAGAACTCCATCAGTGAGGTATCTGCACAGCCAACAACCTACCCATTATCACAAGAAAAAGAATATAAACCATGAATTAACAATTCAAACTTTTAGTATTTGAGAAAAAATGTTACTTAATAAGTGTCTTCTCTGAGGTTCTATCTTCAAATCGTATGGCATAACCCACTTCTTCCCCAAGCCTAACACCAAGTTCCTGCGCGACACGCCTATCCATTACAACAAAGGAAAAAGGATCAGAAACCACATACTTCTGTAAAGGGAAAAGATTTCTGAGAAATTTGATCCAAGGGCATAAAAACTCACAAAAGTCAAGCTGTCTATGCACACACACACAAATCATTACCCCACAACCGTTATAGACAGACTGTAATGCAGTAAAGAATGCAAAAATGCCACTCAAGTGATTACATATATCTGATTGTCTTGTTTCTTGCACAAGTGAGTTTGAGTCGCAGCGTATGTGCTCATATGATGAACTAATTTCAACAACCTATAGCTCAAAAATGCAAAACAAGAAAAGTTACAAAATTGAATTCTTGATAATGGTTACTGCAGGCATGCAAGGAGCTCTAATACACAAGCCAATCTCACATGTTCTATATTATATCGCCAATAAACCTTAACTGTTTTCGCTCTAACATAACTTATTTTGTGTGCTGAGACAGTGAACGTTTCACTAATCAAGTATCATTATAGCAGTGTCCCCAGAGCTTCGGGCACCAGATATTCAGTTACAGATAAGTCAAGACCTCCCTTAATCTTAAAAACAATGCTTAACTGAAAGCTTGTTATCTTCAAGCCGACCGAACTAGAATTTCAGTTCACAAGCATCTCCATATCAACTAGATATTCTAGAAGCCAATGAGAAATAAAACTTCATCTTCCTGAAATACCGATGTACATTCAGCCATAAAGCCTTTAAATTAAGATTTCAATGGAAGTGAAAATTACCTAGAGACTGAAACCGCAGCGACACGGCGGGGCTGAGTGACGGCAATTGTTCCGGACTTTGTGAAACCTCTTCGGTGAAGAATTTGAGAAAGCTGAGTGCTTTTTCCTGAACCAGTCTCTCCAATTATTACTACCACTGGGTTATTTTCCACTGTTTCTACGATTTTCTCTTCAAATTGAAGGATAGGAAGGTGCGCCATAGATTTATCGATCCTCTTTTCAAAATGAATGATAAATTGATAGTAATAATTATCAATTGAATTAGCAAATGAATTGAGGAAATTGGTAGTTTTTGTAGGGTTTTGGCCAATTCCAATTTGAACAACGAGCGCCTTATAGAAACGGTATTCATCGTCAAAGAAAAAGTAAAAGTACCAATAACGACTTTTGATTATTTTATTTAATTTTAATATACTTGTTTTTGAGTGACCATGACGTCATGGATCATTGAGTGAGAACACACAAAAATATTTACCTCATTTTTCTAACAACTTGCTCATGTATGGATTTTTAAAAACCGCACTCACATTATTTCTAATCATTGTATAAATTAAGTTCTGATGCTCGAAAATTTACTTTTAGAAAAATCAACAATATATTGATGCTGACGAGAGATCAATTTATACAATATAAAAAATATATAAAACTAGAATTTTCACAATATCTAAATTTGCCGTCACGCGCCCCTTGCTTTCCTACCAAAAATAGCTTCCCTAGTTACAAGTTTTATTCCTCTCACCCACAGCTCGGCTGTTTCGACTCCCCCCTCGCATGCAAAGTGGATTTCCTTGTTCTTTGTAGTTACCACCCGAAACATGCCCGGAACATCACCATCAAACTTCTTCCTTCGGTTCCATCGGAATGTTGAGCTTGGACCGATCTCGGCTCCCCGACAGATCACATTTCTCTTACTCGATTTTCCCCATCGCAATATTCCGGTAGCCTCCACCATCTTCAATACCTTCAGATGAGGAGATCCCTTGCCTGCCTTCGTATGCTTCTTGACATATGCCCCCCTCAACACGAGTTTTCGAGCGAGCTCATCTAATATAATATGTTCTGCATCATTACCAGCAATGCCTTTTCTGGCCAATGAAAGTGCTGTCTCGTGCCTTGCATTCATAAGATCGCATCTAGCCCCACTTGAAATTAGAAGCTCACACATGCTTCCATCACCTGCCTTTGCTGCCAGCATGAGTGGAGTATATCCATCACAATCAAGAACGTCGATGTCACGTTCCTCATTTATTAATGCCCGAGCCAAATCGAGGTCGCCAATCCTTGCAGCCCGATGAAGAGCAGAGGATCCCCTAGTGTTCTGATTTCCCTTTGCGTAGGCATATTCGGTCAATACCTTTTTGAACGCATCACTATTCTGATTTACTTCGGCTAGACTAATTGCTGTTTCACCGTACTTATTTTGAATTTCCACATCAGCCCCTGCATTGACGAGTAGCCGGAATGCCTCAACATGACCACCTGCTGCAGCAACCATAACAGCTGAAAATTCGTTCTCATCTCTCTGGTTAAGATCAATATCTGGTTGCTTGATAAGTTTCTGTAGGGATGCGATATCATTTGCTTGAGTTGCAAACAGTAGGGAAGAAAAAATTTCGGAATTGCTGGATTGAACAATTTTCCCCGTTTGAATCACATCCAAAACTGCTTGCTGGAAGCCAAGTGTCCACAGCATTGTTCCAGCAATCGACCTAGCACACTGACCAGATGTATTTGTCAAACCGAAATCAGCGCCTGCTGAAGTCAGAAGTCTGAGGCACTCCTCCTGCTTATTTCTAGCACAAATCATTAGAGCAGTCTCACCAGATCCAGTTTTTGAATTCAAATTACAGCCGGCTTTTATTAGGAGGCCAAGAATTGTAGATAATCCAAGTCTTGCAGCAAAATGTATCGGGTAGAAATCTGTTTGTTTAATTGTTTCAACTGGTAGTTCTATATCAGCACCGCAACTCAAAAGCACGCCGAATGCTCTTGCATTGCCGCATAGGATAGCATGGTGTACGAGCGTCCTCCCTAGATGGGGAATATTTGGAGAGATTTGCTGAAGAAGCATGCGCAAGATAGCACCGCTGGCTTCGAAGTACTCCACTGCACACCAAGTGACACGATAGGGCTCAGCCAAGCCAGCGCCTACTCGGAACTCTTCCCCCGTAATTGTGTCCCATGCCCAAGCTCCCAGCCTAACCTTAATGTCTGTTCTGACACCAACCTAATTTTCATGGTCGTAGAACAAAATTTTAAGTTAGATCCGCACTTCTATGCAACAATTTGCATATATATATATATATATGCCATCTGTTAGTAAATTTGAAGGTCGCTAAACTAGTATGATTACCTGCAATAGCAGTTTGACAACAGAGATCTGCCTGCTAATAATAGCAGCAGCAAGTGCATTACAGTCAACGTTGGCATGGAGAGATGGCTTAGAAGATTGCAGCAGCACCCTAGCAGTTGCATTGGCATCTACTCCACTCTGCGACCAATGAGAAGAAAAAGTTATCAAAACTGTCATTGATGTGTAGCTTCCTGTGACAATTAGAATCCGACATTTTCTCTAGGGTCTGTTTGTTTTGTGGGAATTAAGGTCGGAATTAAAATGTCAATACTATAAATCTATAGTATTTGTGTTTTGTTTGGTTCTGAGATCTGTTAAATATGGGTGTTTAGTTACTCAGTTCCATTGAGTTCTAAAATCTGAGTACTCAATAGTATGTAATATATGACAGATTAAATGAGTTTTGCAGATATCAAAGTTGAATTTTCAGGATTTTAACTTAAGTTGAATCGTTGAAAAAAGGAAATAAATCGCAGGCAAAAAAAATGCTGAAATTTTTAATTCCTGAGATTTCAGTTCCTTTGGAACATTAATGGACTGTTAATTTACTTCAGATAGACTCCTTGTTTACAAGATTCATGGATGCCAAAATATAGCCTGCCAAGGATGTGGTGTACCTGCAGAAGATCCGACACACACCGAGTACATAACATTCACTAAGATTAACATAAAGCAAGTGTTCCATTGTTGCTGATGAGACCAACTGGGTTCAACACTCTATTCTACTATCAATCAATTACAATGATCTGCCTTACTGTCTTGCTGAACTAGACAAACAGACTGTACAACATTATTAACAAAAAAGGAGGTATCAGCACAAAGTACCTTTATGAGTGTTTCGACAAAATCAACAAACCCTCTACTGGATGCGGTCACAAGGGCATTAACTGCAACATGAGAGCGGACCACAGCAAAGCCCATGAGAAGCTCAGCAGCTCTGGCCCGCCCCAGGTAAGATGCTTCCAACAAAGACTCCTCAAATGCAGCCTGACCTGCCCCGGCATTTAGCAGCATCTCCAACACCTCAATGTGGCCTTCCCTCACGGCTGCTGTTGTCGCATACCCTCGGAACAGTTTCTGGTTCACATTGGCTCCAACATCCTATGCTCAGAAAAATGACACATAAAAGATTTTCCCAAATATAGCACAAAAAGGTGGACTAAACCAGGTAAAGCCATACTGTTTATTCTGATTTCCCCATAAATCAAAATTTAAAATTCATAGGTAATTTAAATTGTGCGCCTTATTGGCCCCAAACAAAGACAATACAGATTAATTAATTAATAATAATAATAATGATTGCTTTCCAATTCGAAAGTAATCGACAGCTGCAGTTGCACAAAATTCAACTTTAAAAGAAATCCACGACTTGGTAAATTACCATCAATCAACAACGCTCCATCGGATTCAAAATTTGAAATCTTCCACCAATAAATACCCATAAAATCGCAAATATCAGAAACTAAAGCTAAAATATCGAAATTCTAATGCACTGTGTCGCATATTTTAACCAAAATATTGAACAGAATTACAGTAACAATGCACAATTATGTTATTTTGTAAAAATCAGAATTGATGGAAAATGCTTAGGATCAGCTAGGAAGACTGACCAATAACTTTTTGACGAGTGTTAAATTTCCGTTACGAGCAGCGAGGAAAAGAGAGGTTACGTCAGTCTTAAACTCCTCAAACTCAACGCGAACCTCACTGGCATTCTCGCCGTTCAATACAAGCTCTGTTTTTCTGGACTTTAAGCACACTGTTCCGATGAAATTAACGTCCACAAATAAATTCGAAATGAGGTCCAAAGCTAACACAAGATCATCAGCATGAGCCGCGTCTACGAGTTGCTGAGAGATCAACTCGGCGTCGTAGGCGGATCTCAATCTCACCGGAAATACTCGTTTTTCGGCTAGGAAACTGCCGCCAGTAGTGGTCGTCGTGGTGAAGACTGCCATGTTTCTACTCATTTTATATAAAACAACGTCGAACTAAGCTTTGCATGTAGACTGTGTGTTCGTGCATATGAAAAATTTGCAGAGAAAGAATCGGGGGGAAAAGCGAGTGTTTTATTGAGGGCGATCTGTATACAAATTTTTTTAATTTTGTTTGGTTCTTTTGAAAAAAAATTAATTAATAGATAATAAATGTATTAATTATTGGCCAAATAGGGGACCCATCTCTTAATGTTTCATTCTAATTTTTGAAATTTACTTAATTCAAAATAATCCAAGTAGTCCTAACCGTAAACGATGGATACCAAGCGTTGTGCGTACCGACCCGTGCAGTGTTGTACATTAATTAGTATTTGAACAGTTTGTAGAATCCAACTACTTCATCACCTTCGACCTTTTTTCGTACTTCCACTAAAATAGAAAGGTTTAACAGTAATTCGAATAAGTCGTCTTTATGTCAATTCATTTCCACCATTTCAAATTGATTATATTTGGTAGCAACCCTTTTGTGTGGTATGCATTTCCAATTGACTCCTAAAATCACATTTAGACCCTGTTTATTTCAGATTAAAATCAGGTTTTAATTTAAGTTAAAGTCAAACAATTAATATTAATCGCATCTTTCATGGGTCCCACGACTTTTCAACTACACATTTCAAAAACTTATATCGCAATCTACTAAAATTTGAATTTTAATCCCTACCGAACCCCTCTTAACCATTCTCAAAATCCAACTACTTTATCGACATTGATTTTCTCATGCTTCCATTAAAATAGAAAGTTTCACAGGTTCACATTATTTCATTGATCGGTTGTTCGTTCTACGTAGAATTGTCTACAAGATATTGTGTCATTTATTTAATATTATATTTTTTCAATTAACCAGTTAAGATCTAAAATATTATATATTCTAATGGCCGGATTTGGCCTGCAAATTTGTTATTCTTCCAATGTGACAAGGGGCAGTGATAAAGAATAGCAACATAGTAAAATTACGGTTAAAAACAAAGGGATGCAACAAAATTTGCACACAATTCCAATGCCTACACATGAGATTGATTCTTGAATAAATGCATCAAAACTTATTTGTGAAGATGAAGACATTATATTTTTAATATGTCATGCAGTAAATGTATCATTTCATCTACGCGTAAAAAGTATGGAAGTGGGTCGATGATACACATCATTTATGTTATTACGTTAACGTATTAAATATATAACGAGCAAAATATGTTGTTACTCAATTTAATGTAATTGACATGTCATATGAAGTGCAATTACTTTTCAAATAGAATTAAGCTGTTTGTCCCGGCTTAATGATCGGGACAAGTGACAGGGCGCCGAGGTGGCGCCAAAGGCAGCTCCCCCTACAATGTGAGGGCGCCGAGGAAATGGCCTGGAATTTGGCCCTATTTTTCTAGCAGGGTTGTTTCAAATATCTTGTGACTAATTAGTGCAAATTGTCCCTATTCTATGGTCATGTTGCAATTTCAAGACCTATCATTTGGATTCTGACATTTAAGTCCCTATATGCACATTTTCTTGCAAAAGTGACCCTACCGTCAACTTCTGATTGAACCTTTGACATCATTCACTGCCACCTGTAGAGTTATAATTAAATGATCGCTTAGCTCATCCTCACATTACTATTTATTCGCAAAAAAAAAAATGCTCATTGCTTACTCATCAATTCAATCGTTATTCATACATTCGTAACTCCCATTTAACAAAAAATGTCACGAGCTCAGTAGAAATTGGACATTGTTAAACTTTCGAATTAATCAAATGGATACTCATTAAACTTATCCCTTATACAAAGAATATGTGATGTGTTGATGTGTAAAAATATATTGAAGCTAGCAAATTGAAGAATCATCTCAACTCAAACAAAAATCAATAAAAACTTTACTTAAACTCCATCCTCGTACAAAACAAAGACTCTATGCATGGGCGGAGATAGGGGTGGGCTACAAGCTCAGCCTCTGTAAAAAAAAATAAATAAATAATTGGTTAAAGCCCAATTGTTTCCACTTTCCAACCCAATAGCCCACTGTCCTAGCCCATTTGAAAAATTGAAAGCCCAAATTTGCAACCCACCTAAAATTAAACTCAATTCCCACCCATTGACCTAAAAGGCAAAACCCTCTCTACTCTCTCTCTCTCACACCCTTCGACCCTCTCTGCTCTCTCTCTCTCTCTCTCTCTCTGACTCTCTCAAACCCAAAACGGCAAAAGTTTCTCACAAGTCTCTCTCTGACTCTCTCAAACCCTTCGTCCGCCGAACGCTGTCTGTGAGAAATGTATTTTTTTTTTTACTGAATGTTGATACGAACTTGGAGCTGTAGTCTGTATATATCACAGGTTCCATTGGAGGTTTTTTTTTTCTTTTAATTGAGATTGGTTTGCCATGTAGATTTGTGGTGATCCTCAATCAGACAATCACTGTGTGATTTTCTTTTATAAAACCTTAAGATTGTGTGGAGTTATGTGATTTTGTGCGGACCGTGTGGTGTCTTGGTCTATTGGAATGTGGGGATTGAATTTGTGTGTGTTTATATGCTCTGGTACATCCTTACCAATATTACTCTTCAATTTTGTAATAATCACTGTTTTACATTTCCAGAATCAGGAACGGATCCTTTTGCTGAGAGACGAAAAGAGAAGAAGAGCAGAGTTGAGGAGCGTTGGTACAATCAGTTTCATTCGTTGGAATATTCACCTTCAACACATAAAGCATATTATTTTTATTGTTTTTTTTTTCTCAATGATAGTGCTACATCTATTATTTCATCGTTGGTTACAGTTGGATTTGACAGTTGGAAGAGGGTTAACTACTGAGAGAAGATGGCTAGGAAGAATTTCTAGAAGAGGTAAAACTTTTTTGCTCAAAAAATGAGATACATATACCGGACCTCGATTTCAAGTGCCTACACTTTCGGATTTATGTCAGGAATTTGTTGCAAGTAGAAGGTCGGAGAATTACGTCATTTTGACAAAATTGATTCGTTCAATACTGATACTATCGATTTTAACAGCGACAGTGAAGCGAGCATTTTCAGCAATGAAACATGTGAAGACAGAAATTCGTAACAGAATGGATGATAATTTTCTTACTGATTGTTTAACACTAAACATTGAACGATAATTTAGTATTAATTTAGATCTAGATTTTNTTGAGTACCAAAAATGCTCTTGTGTACTATCCTCGTGTTGTTGATGTGTACTATGCTATAAATTATCGTCGGGTACAATTGTAATATGTAACGTTATATTACAATTTTTCTAGTTATATATAAATTTTATTCGTACATTCAATTTTAAAAATTTTTGCCCCCCGTACGACACATTCCTGGCTCCGCCCCTGACTCTATGTGTAACACAATATTTATTCTTTGTGAGCAAATGCCAAATGTGTAATTCACTTAGAAAAATGACAAAAATATTATCTCCAAATAAAGGAAATTTTAGGAGTTTAAATAAAATCTTATTTTAAACATTGAGCTATGCTTATGATAAGAGGAAATTAGGTATAATATTGCTATTGTTTTGAAAGTCGAAACATCATATGTTTTACACAAAAACTTCATAAAATCTATATTACTTTAAAAATAATAAAATAACCCCCAAACCCCTTCCCTTTCCCTCTCTATCATTTCAAACCCCCCTCAACCCATCCCCAAATCAAAACCCATCATTAATCATATCCCACCATCATCACCATCACCACTACTTCATCCAACATAAACACCACTACTATTGCGACCTAAAACCATCTACATGCAAAAGTAAGCTCTGATGGTGAAAAAGACAACAAAGAGAAGGGCCTGATGAATTTATAAAGGTAGGAAAATGTTTTTTTTATGGTTAGGAGACAACAACGGCGATAAATGAAGTGGAGTTGTAGAAAAATATATGTCAGTTATTCTCTCTTTCTCTGGGTTTTTGTAGTTGATTTGTGTCATGACTCTATATGTAGTGGTATCTCAGCATTTGGAAATGGATCGATGAATTGAACTTGCAGCCAGTCTTCTTCCCTCCTCTTCTCGGTTCTTTTTCTTCTTCCTCTTCACCGTCTTCTCTCCCTTCTCCGGTCTTCTTCCTGGTTTCTCCAGCTTTCTCCTTCTTCTCTGTTCTTCTTCTTCTGAATCTGTTCTTCTTCTTTTTCTTCTCTTTCATTTCTCTAAATCTGAATTCTCTTCCTTTGATTTTATGTTCTGAACCTTCTCTTTTTGTCTTACATTTGTTCACATTGTAATAGATCTTGTCAATCAATGAAATGCAATTTACATTTTGTCGTTTCTGTGTAATTCCGGTCAATTAATGAAATTCCAGTTTAGGTTATTGATTCCCAACTGAGTATATTCAATTGTGTTTTAATTTTGATTGAAGTTTAGTTGGTTTTGGTTGAAATTGAGCTCCAACCATAACAATTGGCACCAGAGCAGTACGTGAGCCGGGGAAGAAAATGGAAATTTTTAGCAAAAATCAGGAAGAACAATTTGAAAGGTTAGGAAAGAAACTGGGAATTTTGAGTGTGACCGTAAAATCATGGGATCAAATGTTGAAGGTGGTCGACACTAAGCATGATAGGATGGAGCAATTGATGGGGGAAATGAAAAGTAAAAATGAATTGACCATTTAAATGTTGGCTAAAATGATTGAGGCTAAATCAGTCTCCAACGAGGAACAACAGGAGGAATTGGAAGATGTGAGTATTGTCCCACCAAGTGATACTACATCTGAAGTTGTTTCTGTTGAATTTACTAGTGGTCTACAGTCTAATTCCAGTGAAAGTAAGCACAACCTGATTGAGGTAGGCAAGCTAGAGCTTGAGCAGGAACAAATGCATTTGCACTCATTAAATTTACCCGCAGTAGATAACCCTGAAGTTATAATTAAAGATTTTGTACTTTGCTATGATGTTAATAGTGCTGAAACATTAGATGCAAAGAACTTGGAGTTGAAAAAGCAGGTTAAAAGTGTTGAATCTGAGAACATGGCTCTTAGAGCGGTGGCCTCTCGAGCTGCAAAGCTGGAAACTGAGGTGGCACCCTTGCAGCATAACTTGGTAACTGCGATGAGTGATTTGCGAGAATCCAATGTCGAGTTGTCAAAGGTGAAAAAAGATTTGGGGTTGAAAGGAAAGGAAAAGGAGAAGGATGTTAAGCTGACAGCAATTGATAAGGAAAATGATTTGTTGGTGGTGAGTTGTTGGTGGTGAGAGTCAGCGAACTAGAGGAGAATAAGACTAATTTTAGGAACGAAATGGAGAGAAAGGAACATGAGATTCGAGGTTTGGAAACGAAGGGGGGAAAATCTACTTCTCAAAATGAGAGGGTCAATGAACGAAGTAATCCGTGTAAGGTTCTTCGATATAGGAAAGTTAGTGTGTCTTGCATTAAGAGAAACCAAAAAGATGAGATGAATGAAGCATATGTCACCTTGCACTACCTGCTTAATCCAAAGGTAGTAAAGAGAATGAGCCAAGCTGAGAGGATATCTGTATTGATCGATAATGGTAGTACACATAACCTCCTTAATGAAAAAATGATGTAAGAGCTAAGTTGTAAGATACTAACAACCAAACAAGTGATAGTGACAGTAGCCGGTGGTGAGAAACTGATGAGCACAGCCATATGTAACCCACTTGTTTGGACTATACAATGAATGGAGTTCCAATACCAACAGAGACGGATTAAACTTGAGGATAGTGATATGGTGCTTGGAATGGATTGGCTAAGCTAATTGGATCCTGTCTTATTTGATTTCAGTAGGGGCCGCTTCGAATTTAATTTTGAGGGGGAGGAGATAGAGCTCAAGAGTGAATCATCCAAGATAATCTTCAAGATAATAGCTAGTAGTGAAGTCAGCCAGTGGTTTCAAAAGCAACCTTATGAGGTTATAGCTCAGTTGAACTCCTTAGCAGAAGAGGAGACAGAACTTGTATCTAGTGTGGTGTTGAGTCAACTTTGATTGAGCAAATACTAACCAGAATGTCAATCCAAAAGCCTGCTGTCAAATACTATGGACACTTACCTGTGGTTATAAAGGGTTGCACAATGAACAGACCAATTAATAATGATCTAGCTGCTGTTGGAGGCATGCTTTTACAGACTTGTGATTACATTTTTCTTGAACCCTCAAAAGACTACTCCGGTAGAGTTGCTTGTACCATTCCTGAAGAAGATTCAACTTCCTTAGTCTTTGACAAGCTGAGACAAATAGATAAGAGGTTGGAAAATCAACAGATGTGCCCTTCTGAAGTTCTAGCTAATAATGAACCAGTCAAGCCAGTTGCTGATCCCAAAAAGGAAGACATATGGGAAAATATATTACAATAGGATGCTGGGATGGAGGGTCCATCCATTGGGTTGCAGATGTGCCAAATAACTCAAACTTACTAGTTAGAAACCATGATCCTTGGATTTTATGTCATGATACTCAATTTTCTCCTCCTAGACATAGCAAAATTCAAGTAAAAATGGAAGCTAGATGGACTAGAGGTACTCATGGTGACAGTCATCCTATTAATGGTGAGTTACAGACAGACAATTGCAACGAGTTGAACATAGAGGTACCATTGGAGGAACAAAACTAGCCACTACGTATTCTATCCACACACATGGTGAAAGGGAACAATCAAGCCATCACTCAGTGGCTGGTGCAATGGGGAAGGAACCAACATGGAGGATGCAACCTAGGAAACTTCAGCATTCATGCAGACAAAATTTTCTTCATTCGAACCTTGGGGACAAGGTTATTCTAAGGGGAAAGGATGTCATTACTCTTGTTTATTGGACCATTTACCTTTATTTGATCTAATTGGGCTTGTATTGTTAGTGGGCTAGCCCAAAGCCCTTGTTGTGTGGGTCTATATGTAGTGGTATCTCAACATTTAGAAAGGGATCGATGAATTGAACTTGCAGCCAGTCTTCTTCCCTCCTCTTCTCGGTTCTTTTTCTTCTTCCACTTTACCGTCTTCTCTCCCTTCTCCGGTCTTCTTCCCGGTTTCTCCAGCTTTCTTCTTCTTCTTCTTTTTCTTCATTTCTCTAAATCTGAATTCTCTTCCTCTGATTTTCTATTCTGAACCTTCTCTTCCTGTTTTACATTTGTTCACATTGTAATAGAGCTTATGAATCAATGAAATGCAATTTACATTTTGTCATTTCTGTGTAATTCCAGTCAATTAATGAAATTCCAGCTTGAGTTATTGATTCCCAACTGAGTATATTCAATTGTGTTTTAATTTTGATTGAATTTTAGTTGGTTTTGGTTGAAATTAAGCTCCAACCATAACAATTTGTGGCTAGATTGATTACACGTTAAGGTTTGGCAAAGATAGATCATATCTCATTCGTGATATTGGTGCGAGGATGATGGTGTAGATCCGATGGGATGGGTTAACGACAACGATAGGATTTGAATTGTAGATTTGGTTTGTATGTGGACCATGTTGTTTGTTCTGTGTGGTGAGTAGGGTGGAGGAGTTGGTAGTGGTCGAATTTTTTTTTTTTGTAGTTTTAGTGATTTTTGGGATTGGATATGGTGGAGGCAGGGCGGGACAGAGATAGTGGGGGGTTGGGATGGGCTATAATTGTTCAATTTTGGTCCAAATATTTGTGTTAGCTTAGCTTTAATTTGAATTTCAATCCCAAGCCCCCATGCTCAATTATTCAAATTTTGTTAAAGAGACTATGATTATTAAATATTATTTTCATTACATTTATTCCACGTGAATATCTTATTTTCAAATTAGGCATTTTATGACCAAAATAAATAACTTACTTTAGATTTGCTCTTGTCAATAAAAAGATTATTTGTTAAAAGTTATTTATTTATAGATTAATTTATATATAAGTATATTCTTGAAACTGAGCCAAACATGCACATGAATTAAATCTAATTTCTTTAGACCCTCATAAGTCTTAGTCGATTTTTCTCACTTTAGATGAGATTTCTCAATCACCGTGACATGAAGTGATATAGAAGATTGTTGTCCACACCAAATAGTATTTTAAGACAATAAAATATAGTGATGTATTATTGATTACGTGTTTCGATCAAAGATTTCTGTAATTTGAAAAGACTGGTCGTCAAAGTTATTTAGAACAATATTCATTAAATAATTTATTAGTTTTTTGTTGGTGAATATGTATCCTTTGTCTATTCCAATCATGATTCAATCATTTTATATTTATTTAAGGTGAGCGTCGATTTTCTATTTGGTAAGAAAACATAAAAAGATCTAGTGGGACATCTTAGGGTTATACATCTAGACTTATTTTATTTCATCGAGTGTCGTACACTCTTTGTCGTGAATGTCACGAGTTTAGCATCTTGTGGTGCGAGTTTATTCGATTTTTTTTAAATTTTAGTCCATCATAACATCATTTTCTGGCTCCGCCCCTGAGGCATGATGATAGTTGGTGGTAGTGATTAAAGAAATAGGGGTGGTGAGCAGGTTGGCATTAGTGAGGTAATTGTCACAAGTGTTGGTGGTGGTCATGAATGCTTTAATTGTTTGTGACTAATAAATTGGTTAATGCGTGACCAATAAACAATATACGACCAATGAAATAAATAAATTGTGATAAATAAATAACGGTGACCTCAAAATTTGTCAATTTGTGACCAATAATTTGTTAATTTGTGACCTGTACATAATTTATGATCAATTAATTTGATGTTTTGTGAACATGAAATAAGTTGTAACTTATGAAATTTGTGATTTGTAATCGAGAAATAATATGTGATTTATTAATTTGATAAATTTGTAACCGTGAAATAACTTGTGACCTATAAAATTTTTACTCGTGATCGAGAATTTATTTGTAACCAATTAATTCAATAATTTGTGATCAAATTGTATAAAATTATGACCTTATATTTAATTTATAAAATATATTTTTAATTAATTATTTCATAAATAAAATTTAATCAATATTTATTTTTTTGAAAATTTAAACCTTTTATCTTAGTTTTGAAATGAGTTATATTTAAACTCTCAGTGCTTTTGATTGCAAATGTTTTCCATGAAAAATGTGTTTTTTCCACCCAATTTTCTACTTTTTTGCAACGTGATTGACAATTTTTTCTAAGAAATTTTGATCACCTGACCATATTTTCTTTGAGAACAAGAAAAATATATTTTTTGAGAGAGGTGATTTTTATTTTCCAAGTAATTCACCATTTATTTCTCTCACTCATTTATTCACTCTCTCTCGTCTACCCACCACTAATAAAAAATGAGCAAGTATAATATTTTTTATGTTGAAAACTAAAGTAATCAAACACATTTAATTACTAATTTCCATAGAAATAATTTATAAGAAATTGAATTGTCTAAAAGTTTTTGTTTCTTTGTAAATTTCATACTTGAAATAAGAGGTATCCTTATTTATGAGTTTTTTTCCTTTTTTTAAATTGAAAAACTTAAATATCTATTCATACGTCACAAAGCTGTGAATATTCAGGGTGTATTACTGTATTTGATGGATATAATTGAAGAAATAATGTATTTTAAATAGATATGATAGAAAATATGTGGTTTAAAAATAAAAAAAATTTATTGATGTATTGAAAAATATTATTTTATTAAAAAATTTATGATTAAAAATAAATTTTGAAATAATGTATTTTGAAACAACGGGCTCCAAACTGCCCAACACCGATCAATATGAAGCCCATTATTTCTCAAAAGGAGTCGGGTGGAACAATCGGAATCCGATCTAGATAAACCTTGAAGCGCTAGCAATCTGAACTCTAAATCCCCAAATCACTTTCACAAATTTCTCAACCCAAACCCTAAATACTCTGCTTCAAAGTTCAATTCGATAGGAAGAGATGAAGAGGGGTGGAGACGACGTCGGGGAGAAGCTTGATGGGGCAAAGAAACCTGTATTTCTCTCCAAAGCACAGCGAGAACAGCTTGCCCTTCAACGCCGCCAAGAGGAAGTAGCTCAACAAAAACGCAAAGCCGAACTTTTTCCTCAAAGCAACAATGAATCAAAACCCATTTCTTCTTCCGACCGTGACCGTGACCGTGACTTGGACCGCCGGTCTTCACGTGACCATGATAGGGATCGGGAACGGGAAAGGGAAAGGGAAAGGGATGTGGAGCGAAGGAATAGAGAGAAAGAGCGTGAAGAAGAGCAGAAGGCACGTGAGCGTGCTCGATTGGAGAAATTGGCCGAGCGAGAGCGTGAGGTTGAATTGGCTGCTATTAAGGAACAGTATTTGGGGTCTAAGAAACCTAAGAAGCGGGTAATTAAGCCTAGCGAGAAGTTCCGGTTCTCTTTCGACTGGGAGAATACTGAGGATACTTCTCGGGATATGAATTCGCTGTATCAGAATCCTCACGAAGCTCGGCTACTCTTTGGTCGTGGTCTCCGGGCGGGAATGGATCGGAGGGAGCAGAAAAAGCTTGCGGCTAAGAATGAGAAGGAGATTCGTGAGGAGGTTAGGAAGAAAGAGGGTGTTGATGAGACACGCGAGGAAGCTGCTGCTCAGAAGAAAAAGGACAAGGCTGCGGATTTGTATGATACTTTTGATATGAGAGTGGATCGCCATTGGTCTGAGAAGAAGCTGGAGGAGATGACGGAGAGAGACTGGAGAATTTTCAGGGAAGATTTCAATATTTCTTACAAGGGTTCGAAGATTCCCCGCCCTATGAGAAGCTGGATTGAGAGCAGGTTGGGTCCTGAGTTGTTGAAGGCAGTGGAGAGGGCTGGCTACAAGACTCCATCGCCAATTCAGATGGCTGCTATTCCTCTTGGCCTGCAGCAGCGTGACGTGATTGGCGTTGCTGAGACTGGTTCGGGTAAAACTGCTGCCTTTGTTCTTCCCATGTTGACTTACATCACCCGACTTCCTCCTATGACCGAAGAGAATGAGGCCGAGGGACCTTATGCCGTTGTGATGGCGCCTACTAGAGAGCTTGCTCAGCAAATTGAGGATGAGACTGTGAAATTTGCACACTATCTGGGTATGAAGGTTGTTTCTATTGTTGGTGGGCAGTCCATTGAAGAACAAGGTTTTAGGATTAGGCAAGGGTGTGAGGTTGTGATTGCAACACCTGGGCGTCTTCTTGATTGCTTGGAGAGGCGGTATGCAGTTCTTAACCAGTGTCACTATGTAGTTCTGGACGAGGCTGATCGAATGATTGACATGGGTTTTGAACCTCAAGTTATGGGTGTATTAGATGCAATGCCTTCAAGCAACTTGAAACCGGAGAATGAGGAGGAAGAGCTTGACGAGAATAAGATTTATAGAACAACCTACATGTTTAGTGCTACCATGCCGCCTGCTGTTGAGCGGCTGGCGAGGAAGTACTTGAGAAATCCTGTTGTTGTTACCATTGGCACTGCAGGAAAGACAACTGATCTCATTACTCAACATGTTATCATGATGAAGGAGAATGATAAACCGGGTAGGTTGAGGAAATTGCTGGATGAGCTTGGTGATAAGACAGCCATTGTATTTGTTAACACAAAGAAGGTTGCTGATAATGTAGCCAAAAATTTGGATAAGGATGGCTATCGTGTGACTACACTGCATGGGGGGAAGTCACAAGAACAGCGAGAAATAAGCCTAGAAGGATTTAGGACTAAGAGATACAATGTTTTGGTTGCCACTGATGTAGCAGGTCGTGGTATTGATATACCTGATGTGGCACACGTCATAAATTATGATATGCCTGGTAATATTGAAGCTTATACCCATCGTATTGGGAGAACAGGACGTGCAGGGAAGACTGGTGTTGCCACCACATTCTTGACTTTGCATGATACTGATGTCTTCTATGATCTGAAGCAAATGCTTATTCAGAGCAACAGTCCTGTGCCTCCAGAGCTTGCCAGACACGAGGCTTCAAAGTTTAAGCCTGGTAGTATCCCTGATCGACCAGCCAGAAGGAATGACATGGTTTTCGCTCATTGATGCAGCAATCTGGCCATATTTTTCTTGAAGATTTCTAATTTTATGTGGCCATTGAATGGGTAATAGAAATACAAGCTACTGGTGCATTCGGCATTTAGGAAATGTCATCTACACTGCACTTTTTCTTTGAAGGGGCTGAGGCATGTATGAAGCACTCTTAAAGAAGTTGTAGTAGCTGATGAGCTTTATGATCCCAGTAAAACAATTTAGAAGAGGAAGAAAGATATAAAGATTGACTGGTTTGATGTGGTTGCCAAAAAATTGATTTTGTTGGATGCTTCCATAGTTTTATTCCGTCAATGAATAGAGTTGCAAAAAAGAACTATTGTACCTGATCCCAAGTTTATTGATTGTAAAGCTTACATTGCTCACCCCACCCTGTCTTTTGGAATTAATGCTTAGTTTGTTCTATTGTTGTATAAAGGACTCTAATTGGTTGAGAATGAAGTATTAATTTCTCTTGAATGGTAGATTATAAGGAATTAAAGAATGCTGCTCCAACCCTTTAGTTCTAAAGGTAGATTAGATGATATGATCTTTTCGAGGTACCTGGAATTGGCATTCTATTAATACATGTGATTATTGATTTATTTTATGCATGTTACATGTCTGAGGGATGGCTAATAAATATGCTTTTGAAATGTATTACTTTTTGTGGATATTACATGTCAAGAAAAATATATTCTCGTAGTTTTGTAATGGCAATTGTCCCAACTTTTTGCTGCTTGGTTTTCTTTTGAATAGTTGCAAAGCTGTCAACTGAAAATGGTTTCACATTGCTTACATAGCATTTCTTATGCTTGATTGTTACTTATTTTTTTCCTGGGATCAAACTTTTGGGATACCAAATGACTCCAGTGTTTAAACTTCATGCCTGTACTTACATTCTCATAACTGGAATAGGGTGTTTGTTAGGGTATTGTGGGGGTGAGCGAAGCCATGTAGTGCTGGGAATGAGGCATATTGTGGGTGGGTGGGATGTGTAGCTACCCTCAGATATAGGAAATCTAAAGTTAAAACACGGATGCAGGGTCCAAGTAGACAAAGTATTGGCTTGGGAGCAATCATCAGAGGTAACTCTGGTGTGTTCATAGTAGCTACATCACATCACTTTGAAAGACATTTCCAGAGGATGCTGATGCTATGGCTTTTTTGCGAAGTAGCTAAATTGGCAGATTGAGGAGACTGAATGCGGTGGTCCAAAGTATCAGTTCTGATTTTCATTTTGCCCATAATAATTCACTGTTTGTTGACATTGTTTTGTTGTTACTGTGAAGATAAAAAATGAATATGCAAATATTTGATCAATTAATTTTATTTTGCTTCTGGTTTCAAATTTTTTCATGATTGATCAATTTATTGCATCTGTGAAATTTTGGATGTCCGTGAAAATGCAATGCATAATTAGGACAAAGTTATTTGAACCAATTGCCTACTATGGTTGCTAGATAATTTACCAGCTGATGTAATTTAGATGCCGTTTGGTGGCTTGTTATATGTTTTCTATAATTGCTTGGGGTGCCAACATGCCCCCTGAGATACTGCCCTTGTTTGAGCCCCATTTTTGGAAGATAATGTATTTTGGAATGGTGATTTTTGGAGAATGTGTGATTAAAAAATAAGAAAAAGTTTTTGGTTTATGTGTAAAATTATTTTATGGAAGAATGTGGAGTTGGAAATGAGTTTTTGAAAAAATGGGGGCCATAGTTTCAATTTGAACAGCAATGATTGGATATAAATACGTTAATTTTTTTGTTACATTGTACGAATACAAGATTACTTTATTTTATTCATTTTGCTGCAACAATGCTATTTGATGGTTATCCTGCATACTTCAGTGTCGATTGCGTGAGCTGGCAAATAAGAGAAGAGTATCCGTAACTGGAGCTTCAAAGTTGATGGCTAACATTCTCTATTCTTATAGGGGAATGGGTTTATCTGTTGGAACTATGATAGCTGGCTGGGATGAGAAGGTAACGAGTGAAATATAATAATATAGCATGCCATTGACCTTCATCCTTTGGATGTTTATAATGCTTTTGCATTTTGATGTAGGGTCCTGGCCTGTATTATGTGGACAGTGAAGGAGGAAGGCTGAAAGGAACTAGATTCTCTGTTGGATCTGGTTCACCATATATGCTTATGGTGTTTTGGACAGTGGGTGAGTTATTCGTTTTCCTGTTGTGAAAGTTTCACAATTTTCTTCTAAATTGTTGAATATTTGAACATCATGATATGAAACAAGAATCAGAATTGCTGCAATGTTTTCTTGCACCAGTTATATATATTGTACTAGTAATATCTATGCATCACATTTGCTTGTGGCCTTTGATTGCAAATAAACTATATACATTGAGACTCTTGCAGATGACTTTTTACATGACTCGTATTTATTAATACTTCTACTTCTGCTTTCATTCTTCAGCTTTAATCTAATGCAATTGCTATAGGGGGACCTTAATGTTGTTTTTTGTTGTAATTGTGTAGCTACCGTTGTGATATGTCTGTTGAAGAAGCTGCAGAGTTGGCAAGACGGGCTATTTATCATGCAACATTCCGTGATGGAGCTAGCGGTGGCGTTGCCAACGGTAATGCACTCGTCCCCTTCATCTGATTATTCCCTTCCTCATATTTCTGTGTGCATGCTGGTTCAATCATGACCTGGGTTTTATTGCAGTTTATCACGTTGGACCAAATGGATGGACAAAGCTATCAGGCGACGA